GGTGTGTCAGAGGCAGTGCAGTTGGCGAAGGATAGAGCAGGGTTTAGGGCTGTCGTGCATAGGGTCGCTATGAGTCGCAAATGACTCGATGGCACATAACAACAACAACAACAATGCTGAATAAATAATTTGAGAAGCTGGACTCTAAGAAGAAGAATGTGGCATCAGGATAGAAGCACATACACCAACAATCTGTGTTATGCAGATGACAAAGCCTTGCCTGCTGAAAGAGATGAAGAGTTGAAACACTTGCTGCAGATCAAGGACTACAGCCTTCAATATGGATTGGATCTTAACATGAAGAAGAGAAAATTCATCACCACTGATCCAATAAGCAACATTGTGATAGATGGAGAAAAGACTGAAATTGTCAATGGTTTCATCTTGCTTGGATCCACAATCAACACACTTAGTATCAGCATGTAGGAGATCAGGAGATGTATTGGGAAAGTCAGCTGTTAAAGACCTCTTCAGGTTACTGAGGAGCAATGATGTCAGTTTGAAGATGAATGTATGCCTGATTTCTTGCCATGATCTTCTCAATCATTTGTTTTGCATCTGAGACAGAAGAATGAATGCCTTTGAGGTGTGGTAATGGAGAAGAGTACTGAATATCCCATGGATTGCTAAAAGAACAGATATATCTTGGAGAGGGTGCAACCTGAGTGGTCCTTAGAGGATAGCATGTTACTAGGAGAGGCTATTCCTTGGAAAGGACATCATGCTGGGAAGGGTGGAGCTTCAGTGAAGGACAGGGAGATTCTCAAAGAAATGGATTGATACAGTGACTGTAGCAATGGTCTCAAGTACGTTAGAATGGTAAGGATAGCACAGTATATGACAGGGTTCAGGGTTATTGTTGATATGGTCCCTGTAAGAGTACTGCAATCGATTGCACCTAACCACAACATGAGTTACAGTTGACTTGAAGGCTTCTAATAACAACAGCAGGAGGGGCCAGTCCTCAGAAAAAGATACCATGCTGGAGAGGTGGAAGGCCAAAGAGAGGAAGACCTTCAACTCATTGTTGCAGTGAGTATAACAATGGATTTGAGCATATCAGAGATCAAAAGGCTGGTGCACTATAGGGCAAAGCTCACATTTGTTGTTCATAGGGTCACTATGAGTCACAGAACATGCTGTTGTGTATTTAAGAAGGATAATGTATTATTCATTACTACCATTTGCCTTTGTATGCTGTAGTAATATCCCCCCAATAGTGGGCAATTATTTCTTTTCTCATGAGAAACTAAGAGCCCAGTGGAAAGTATCAGCGCTGCCAACCCGAAGGCATGGTTCGAATCCATTAGCTGCTTCACGGGAGAAATATGGGTAATTTCCTCCTGTGTAATTTATTGCCTCTGAAATCCCGCTGGAGGATCATCGTACATAGCAACAACGAGAAACAAGAGTGATGAGTACCAATTTTCTAACAAAACTGATACAATTTGTAAAGAACAATGATATGTCTTTATGAAGAGTAAAAAAAAAAAAAAAAAGGATGAGGAAGAAAAAGCATCAAGCTCAGAGAGGAACAAAGGTGAACGCCACAGTAAACGTAACACTGACTATTAGCATATAGGTTGGGGGAGAACTCTAGCCGACGGAGGAGACAGGAAAGCGACGATCAAATGTTCTGACGGATCCCCATAGGGGCGGGGTTAGCTCCACGGCGCATGCGCAAGCAGGCCCAGGTGAAGGACGCCGCGGAAGCGGAGCTATCTAGCGACGCCGCGCCGCTCGCGTTCTGTTGCGCGTGCGCAGTGCGCCCTAGGCTGGAGACTTCATGTTTGCCGCCTCCGGAATCTTCTCTAATTTTCAGTCGCGCGCTTTCTTCATTCTCTTGCTGCCGGTTTCGTGCACCCCCAACCTCCTCACTCGCGCGCCTTCGGGCAGCGAGGCTGGGGAAAGGGTTTGAGGGGGCTGTTGATCGCCGCCTTTAAGTTGTGCTAGGGGCGGCCATGTCGGCCGGTGAGGTCGAGCGCCTAGTATCGGAGCTGAGCGGCGGGACCGGAGGGGATGAGGAGGAAGAGTGGCTTTATGGCGGTACGGAACTTCCTGTCCCTGTCTCTTTCTCCGGGGTTCTCTCAAGCCTATTTTTGTCCCGGCTCGGGGACGGCCGGTGTCCCGGGTCCCTCGCTCAGGCCGCTGGCCCGGGCCTGATTTAGGCCGAGCGTGGTGTGCGCCTCCCCTCCCCCGCCACGGTCTTCCCTGGCCTCCACCACGCCCCCAGCGCGCGCCCACCGCCGCCGCCGCGGGATCGGAGCCCCTCGCCGCCGGCCACGGGGTCGGGGTCTGTGCCCCGCCGGTCCTCCGCCGGGGCTGCCCGGCCACCAGCTTTTGGTATCGATTCTAAGGTGTACTGACATCCCTTTTGGCCCCTCTGTTGTAGGGTCCCATTCCTGTCCCCTTTTCAAGGAAGTCCTCCTGTAGTAATAGCCGAATAAAGTTAACGCGGCAACAACAAGGCCTTGTTTCTTAATGGTCAGAATTGCAGTTTGTATGCAATGCACCTGCAAGAGTATTTCCTTATCAGAACGTTGTGCTTTAAAAAGAATTAAAAAAGAGAGATGGAATACGTTTTATGACTTAAAACACCCTGTATTAAGTGAAGTATTCCATTTTTAAGAGCTTGCTCTTTTAGCCATTTCATTGAAGTACTTCAAGTCCCCTATGGTAAACGTCTTGAGTATCATGGCACGTATTTCTTTTTCGCAAATTTCGTGCATCTGTTGCTTCCCCAAGTCAAAGGAACTTGACATGTGATATTTAACTTTCTACAAGTTGTGGTTTCTTGCGAATGTTCTGCATTGACACCAGATTTGAAACTTATTTATTTCTTGCCCCAAATTTATGTTACTGAGTAGAAGTGTGCAATTAAAAGTGCACCTTTGTGGACCCTGCTGCTCCTTCCTTTAGGACCTTGATAGAACTGTAAAATAATTCGGTCCTAAGATGTAGCTATGTAACCTGATAGTTTTTAATGTGAATGTATAAGGTTTCTTTTGCAAATATCTAGACGTCTTAGGCACATCTTGTTTTTAGAGACATAAGATATTTTTTCCCCTATAAAACTTGTATGTTAAGCAATTATAAGGTGATCTAACTTTGGATATGCTTATAGGCCCATGGGACGTGCATGTGCCCACTGATTTGACAAAGGACCTAGGTTAGTGCTTGTGATGGTCACTTCTGCTTTCATAATGCTAGTTTCTTTAAAATGGTTTCTTAATGATTTTATTTTATTACTTTCTTTTTTTTTTGGTAGATGAAAATGAAGTTGAGAGACCAGAAGAAGAAACTCCCAGGTTAGTGAATGTCCCATGGATATTTTAGTGGATACAGCATGCAGGGTGTTCTATTAAGAAATCATCAGAATGATTTGCTTTCAATTGTTGGCTTGATTATAATATTTTGACTTAAGTTTGGAGAATGTTGATTCCTTAAGAATTTATTTTTATTTTAATGCCTAATCTTATACCACTTTTATTGATGAGCCGCTTAGGGGGACAAAGTTTTGAAGTTCAGGTTTGTAACTTTTTACTAGTAAGTAACTGTTTATTCTTCATGAGCTCTGTGCTGTACACTGTGTGATTCTCTGGGTGGTACAAACGTTCAGTATTTGATTATTAGAAAGGTTTATGGTAGGACAAATACTGCATCGCACCACTGTTGTAAAATGGGACTGATATAGGAGTTGGAGGGGAGACCGAGAAAGATGGGATAAATAATGTATACTGCATTGAAACAGATGAGAGAGTTTAAAAGGTATATATGATTAGGTATTATTGTCATGACATGAGTCCAGAACGAAGGCCGCATAGTGGAGTGGACTTGGAGGGAGGGACTGTATAACAATGAAAGGATTTTTCTTTTACTTTTCAGTGAGCAGAATGAACTGGGTGGCGGGGGGAAGGGTGGGTAGGGAGAAATGTGCAACAATGAATGAATGGAAATCCAAAGTCTCTGTATATTTTCATTAAAATTAATAATATAATAATAATAATAATAATAATAAATAAAATAAGTTTTATGTTTTGAACCCATCCAGAAGTGTTTCTGAAAAGAGGCCTAATGGTCTAATTCTGAAAGGTTGTATAGCCTTAAGTAACTGAAACAGCTTTATCTTACATCAGCTCAGTGGCAGCTCACAACAGTGATAAAGCATAACTAGTAAGAGAGACTATGTATATAAATTTTAAAAAGTTATAGGAAACAAAAAGATTACAGCTTTTGTGATTGACAGGGAACTCTGACATAGTCTGTACGGAGTTGTGCTGCTAACCCAAAGGTCAGGCCTCTTGTAGTTCTAATCCATTAGCTGCTTCTTTTGAGAAAGATAGGCAGTCTTTCAATGCCATGTATAGGCTTGGAAACCTAGTGGAGGGTTAGCTATGAGTCAGTTCTCTGTGTGTTTGTGTGAGAGAGAGATAACTTATTACCATTTTGCTTTTGTTGTAATTTCAATATGGTATAGAGTTACTAAAAATAAAAAAAAAATGACCTAATCTGTTAGAATATGGATCCTCTCTGTATGATTGGGAAGCTCTAGTGAAGTGTTCCATATTTTTATCATTGGCTCTTATTAGTACAGCATTTGTCAAGTGTGCTGTACTAGGGTAACTTGTGGGTTGCTGTGCTGCTGGAAACTATACCATCAGTATGTCAAAATGCCAGAAGGGTCACCCATGGTGGGCAGGTTTCAGCAGAACTCCCAGATTAAGATAGACTAGGAAACATGGTTGGCCATCTACTTCTGAAACAGGAACCTCTGAAAACATTATGAACAATAGAGTAACATGGGTAACTATAGTATTAGAGGTAGAGCCCAGATTGGAAGTCAGTCAAAATAAAAAAAGGTAGAGGTTTGGCTAGAGAAATGAAAACATATATCTAAAAAACAAAACCTTTCATACAAATGGTCACATCATTATCATTCTTAATAGGAAGAAAATGGAAACAACCCAACTATTCAACTGATGGCTGAACAAAATGTGGTATAGCCATATAATTAAAAACTATTTGGCAGTGAAAAGAAATGAAGTACTGACACATACTGTGACATGAACAAACCTTGAAAACCTTCCAAGAGGTCATGCAAAAGACCACATAGTGTATGATTGCATGTGTATGAAATAGAATAGGGAATTCCAGAGAGAGAGAGTATGATAGTACCAGGGTTTCAAGAAGAGAGAAATGGGGAGTAACTAAAGTATATAAAGGTTTTGATGTGTGTTTTGAGGGGTTGAGAAGATGGTGAAAATGTTTTGAAATTTGGTAGTTCAGATAGTTTAGTAAAAGCTGTTAAAAACTTTCAGTGGGTGAATTGTGTTAGTATATCTGTTGTTAGGTTCCATTGACTTGGAACTGACTCATAGCGTGCCCTTCAGTGGGATTTTCAGAGGCAGTAAATCATTTGGGAGGAGATCAACTGGTAGATTGGAACTCTGCCTTTGGGTTTGCAGCATGACTCTTTACCACTAAGCTATAAGAGCTAATAATTATTGTAATTATATAAAATTTATAAATATGTATATTAATAGTGTGGCAGCAGTGGGGAGCCCTAGTGGTATGTTTTACTGCTAACTGTAAGATTGAATGGTTCAGAACTACCAGTTGATCACAAGCTGCTCTAAGTTAGATGGTCTACTCCCATTAATATTTACAGCCTTGGAGACTTGATGGAGGGTCACTATGAATTGTAATTTACTTGATGGCCAGTGCTTTTTAAAAAAAATTCTGTGTGTGCGTATCTGTATATGTGGAATGGTACAAGGTTGTGCATTGAGTTAATTTAGCAGATTGACATTCCATTCAACCTTTTATTCATTTTTATTTATGACATTGATTGCAGTCTCCACATTTTATCAGATTTCTCGGTATCTCTCTGGTTCTTGTTTTCATTCATCCTTCCCTCTTTCTGAACTTTATACCTAGTCAGTTGATGACTTTGTGATGTTGTGTTGATTTTGCCAATGAGTATTTTTGTGATGGTATTGCTTGCCTTACTGGTTTATCTATTTGGTTTTAAGTTGTGCCACTAGAGTAGATTCAGTTCCAGACTTAGAAGGCGGCTAAAGACCACATTCTTGGGAGTTTCTATCAGTTTCTCTGAGACCAGTAAACTTGGTCATTATTGTGACTTTGCATTTATCTTCCACTCTAACCAAGATCCTCTAATGTGATCACTTTTAAAGTGATTAATAGAGGTAACTAGGCTCCATCTAGTTCTGGCTTCCGGGTTGTGGAAATTGAGGTTTGCAAGGTTATTGGGGCTTTGAACAAATTATTTACATATATCTTCGATTTTCCTTACTTTTTTTGCCTAAGACAGGAAAACAAAAATAGTAATAGTTAAAGCTGACTGCTTGCAAACTTTTATGTCCACAGACATTGCTCACCCAAATAGGATGTAGAGCAATACATTTTGTTAGGCTGATTGATCTTGCTGTCCTGTCTTCCTCCATCCCCTACCTGCCCCCCCTCCCCTTGGTCTTGAGGCCTCTGACCTCATTCCTTCGGGATAGTTGATTATGGTTAAGAAGATTGGGTATCTTCCAGTTGACTCTACAGTATATGTTTATGTATTTGCAGGACATACAAATACTCATTCATGTTGAAATATCTGCCAAATCTATGCATGATCAGTAGCACTCTGAATTATATTTTATAAAGAGAAAAAGTAGATGGAGGGAAGTGAGAAGTGTAAATAGAAGGAGCTGAAATCAGAGCGGTCTTCCTCATTTGAAAATGCTCTCTTTTTCCATTGCAAGATTTTTTTCCTGCCCAGTTTATACCATCTGATGTAGTAATTTAGTTGTGAAACTTCTCTGTTGAGCTGACAAAAAGTAGAACATTTTATTCTTAATGTTGCTATATCATGATGAGACTTGGGCAAAAGCAGGTGGTTGGCCTTACTTACAATCCTGGTTTCAGCTTGAGAGCTCTGTTGGCCTTACTGTTAAGACATTGCACTGCCAATACAAGGGATGTAGTTGGAATCCACCAGCTGCTCCTTGGGGGAGAAAGATGGTCATTCTTCTCTTGTGGGATATCCTGCTTCTAAATACTTGCTGGAGGGTCAGCTATAAGTTGGCTCAAAGAGCAACAATTTCAACTAGTCACACAGAATCATTGTTAGAGTTGGAATACTAATGATTTTAATTATGAATTCTTGTATTTTTAAATACTGGCTTGCCAACCTTTTTTTTATTTTAAAAAAAAAATTATCATTAATAATTTTGAATACCTAAAGCACTGGGTCCCAAGTATCAAAGTGCTAAAATATATACATTTTAAATGAAATAATATTTTTCATATTAATCTTATTATTCCCAAGGCTTTTTTACTGTATTGGATATTTTTCACTTCTTAATCTATTTTATTGAAAAAAGGCCTTCTACTTTACCAGAATATCACTGTCCAAAACTCAGTGCAGAACCATTGAATTTATTTTTTTTTAATTATTATTAAATTTTATTAGTTTTAAAGGACATTTACAGAGATTTTGGGTTCTCATTCATTCATTGTTGCACTGTTTTCTCTACCCTCCTCCCCAGTTTGTTGTTCTCCCCCCGCCCCGAATGTCTGTTTTAATTGTCCAGTTGCCACAGTGCTTGTCAAAGCCAGTTCTGATTAATCTCCTTTGTCAGTGTGTCCTTTGCCATTCCCTATCACTCCTCCCTGAGAGAGACTTCACCCTGATTCACAAGGAAAAGGGGATGGCGTATTCTCTTAGCCACTTCCTGCTGAAAAGGGACGCTGTGGGTTTCAGGGTGAAGATCTTCTCCCACTACTCTAAAGGGCCTCTTTGGCAGTAGGAAACACATAGACTATTATGGAGATTGATTTTGGAATTTAGATGCACTGTTATTAATTGTGCTTAGCCATACATGTTCATATCCTTGAATATGTATCATGGAGGTGTTACAACCTAGAAGACACAAATTTAACTAAGAAGTTAAAAGTACATGAGTCAAAAATTAACAAGGAATAATATTCCGAGTAGAGGTTCTAGTAGTGGCACAAATCAAGTTACAGAGGGAAGGTGGTTCTTAAAATAAAAGGCCTATAGACTAGCACTTTGTCTATTATAGTGTACAGGTTAGGAACCACAAGATGTAGAGGCTCAGCTATGTCATTTACGCTTCTTAATTCTGGAGCAAATTCCATCTACCACTGGGCTGCTTATGAGGTTTTCCGTCCATTCCAACAACTAAGAGATAGTGAGAAGAGTTGGGACCTCAGAATCAGAAGGCTTTTAGGACCAATTAGTAGGCTCTGTGTCCAGGAGAAAATGAATATACTTACCAGTAATGTTATTGCTCATCCACGGCTCTTCTGGGAGGGTCCTCCTTTGTTTCCAGCTGGGAGCTGGGGCCTGTCAGTCCTGTCTGCCACGAGGACCTGATGTGGGCCACCTTGGCCAAGTGTCCTTCAGATCCACACTTAAAGCGAGTGAATGGGAGCTTCCTCTCTACTCCCTTGCCTATCTGTGGCTGTCGTCTGTGACACTGTCTACTGAAGTGGCCCAGCTCATTGAATTTATTTTAGGTCATGGAAAAAAAGTTAAACATTTTCCTGGAAAAGTATATAATTTCCATGTTTTTAACAGTTTAATTAATGCTAATTGTGAATAACATTCCTAAAAGTAGTCTTTTGGGTTAGAGAAATCTGTCATACCTTGTTGGAGCTTGGTAGATTGTCTTACATGGGCAGTTAAATTTGCACTTATTGTAGTGAATTGAAAAATATTTAGGATAATTCCAATAGAGTAATGTTGAAGATCGTCAAGGAGATGAGTTGACACAGTGACTATAATCATAGACAAAGCAGAGGTAGTGAGGATGGGACAGGATCTGGTGAGTTTCCTTCTGCTGTATAATGAGTTGTGAATCAGAGCCGACCTGATGGCATGTGACAGCAGTATTGTTGAGTAAATGTGCTGCATAGTTGAAAATGATAAAAAAAACCAACCCAGCCCACTGTCAGATTATACGTTGTTAACACATAATTCTACTTTGAAATGATTGATACTTGTTTTATTCAACAGAAGGTGAAATGCACATTTTGCCTTACCATTCAGAGAAAACAGTCTTGTAGTAGATACAGTTTAAAGATACTAGCGTAAGGTATCTGTGCTCTTGAAAAGTAATGCCTGATATGCATTTTCTTCGTTTATAGTGCAAATCCTCCATCTGCAGTTGAAGAGGAAACTGCTGAAAATGGTGTACCAAAACCGGTAACATAAGGCTTTGAAATCTGGTTATTTTCCTCTTTAAAATTTTTTATCAATAGTAGTTTCCCAGCTCATGTAGGAACAACCCCAAATTTTAATATGACCTTCTGTAGCCTGTGTGATCTTGCCCTCTCTCTTAATATCTTTTCTCTTATCTGATGCTATCAAAAGCGTGTGTAGGGACTATTATGGAGAGGAGTGGGGAGAGATTCAACGAACTGAATGGTCATAGTGGTTAGAACATAGCTTGATTTTGTAAGTGAATGTTGAATCCCATGAGTAACTTTGAATGTCGTGGTTTTAAGCAACTATAAGTCATAATGTCATAGTTTAAAAAATGTAAATACAGTCCTGACCCCATGCCTATAACAAGTGAGGTTATATTGGATAAAAATATTAGTTTTATCTTAATCCTTAAAAATAGTTATTCTATAGACTTGACCTTAAAAAAAAGTATTTTGCCTAGGTAATGTATTTCTTTATGATTGTGTGACTAAGGACAAAATTGACCTTGGCGTAAAAATAAAGGTTGAGCCAACCTAACTTTTGTGCATCCAGAAATAACTCTAAATCATTGACATTCAAGGCCACTTGAAGGTGTGAATGAAGCTAGGAGTAATTGGACAACTCTTTACTACTTGATGCTGTTAATCATGAATCTTAAAAGTAATTTCCCTTTTTGTATATTTTTCATTTACTTAGTATAAATTTATCCTTCTTCAGGTGTTTTTTAGAAACCTGTACGTGGTTAAATAAAAAAGAAAAAAATACCTAAGATGCTAATTTGGTAAAGGTGACACTAAGAAGTGGTGTTACTTTATTCATGTTCTTAACACTTTTTATTATTTATATATCAAAGTTATAAATAGGTTCTTTGTCTAATATTTTTTATCTCAAAAAATCAGACTGACTATATTTCAATTACTAATACTTGGTGGTAGATTGAACTATATAAGAAATATAATAAATGTTTATGTTGCTTTAGAAAGTGACTGAGACTGAAGATGATAGTGACAGTGACAGTGATGATGATGAGGATGATGTTCATGTCACTATAGGAGACATTAAAACAGGAGGACCACAGTACGGGTAAGTCATTTTTAAGTAAATGACAGCTGTCTGAAAGCTATATAAAAAATAAGGTGGCTGTGTAGACCTATTAGTAATTGATTCCTTTGCTCTTAGCATTATCAGAAAGATTTTATTAAAATTTTGCTGTGAAAATACTTCCCTAAATATAGCAGTAATTAGATACTGTTATGTAATGCAGCAGTTTTTTGTTTTTGTTTTTTCCAATTTAAATAAGTTTTTTTATTTTATACTGGTTTACCACACAGTCAAATGCCTTTGCATAGTCAATGAAGCACATTGACATTGTTGTTGTTGTTATGTGCTGTCGAGTCGCCTGCGACTCATAGTGACCCTATGTACAACAGCCCTAAACTCCGCTCTGTCCTGTGCCAATCGCACTGTCTCTGACACTCCCATCCCAATTATCCCAGTCACTGAATCAATCCACCTCATAGAGGGCCTTCCTCTCCTGCGCCGTCCCTCCACCCTCCCAAGCATGATGTCCCTCTCCAAGGACCGGTCTCTCCTCACTACATGTCCGAAGTAAGTTAGACGGAGCCTCAGAATCCTTACCTCCAAGGAGCCACCCGGTTTAACCCTCTCCAGGACAAATCTATTTGTTTTCCTAGCAGTCCATGGTATTCTCAGTACTCTTCTCCAGCACCACAGCTCAAAGGCATCAGTTCTCCTTCTATCCTCCTTGACATTGACATTAGACATAGACAAACACATAGACAGACATTCCTCTGGTATTCCCTGCTTTCAGCCAAGATCCATCTGATAATAGCTATAATATCCCCAGTGCCATGGCCTCTTCTAAATCAGCCTGGACATCTGGAACTTCTCTGTTGATGTGCTGTTCCAGTCGTTTTTGGATAATCTTCAGCAGAATCTTGCTTGCATGTGAATGCAGCAGTTTTTGATTCCTTAAATTATAAATGCTTTGGAAAATCATAAATCTTTTACTTGCCACTAGAAAGCTTAAAATACTGTTTGTATCTATTGATAATTCCTATTGTTATATGTTGAATTTAGAATTTAGTACAATTTTATTTAGTATTTTAATTTTTTCACTCAAGGAAAGCATTCCTTCATTCAGTAAGAACTTAAAATTTAGTATATTCTTTGTCTGATAGTGTAGAAAGTATTCAAAAGAATCTAGGAGATAATAAAATAGTCCTTATTTTCTAGAATCAATAAAGAAGATAGGTAATATGAGAAAATAGCTTCAGTGCAACATAAGTAGAACAGAAACATGTGCAAAGTGATTTGAAAGCTTTGAGAGGAGAATTGCTAATGTCTCAGAGCTAGATCTAAGAAGAAGTAGCATCTGCTTTGAGTCAGAAGAACCGATGATTTAGAGAAGGGCCCACTTAGACGTTGTGAAGTATAGTTCAAGAAAATACATACCTTGAATGTAAGATAAATGGGAAGGGATGGTTGACATCACTTAGGAAGTTCCCTACTTGTCATTTCTAGGAGTTAGAATGTTATTACATTCTATTCCATGCCATCGTGTATACTTTGAAGTTTTTTAGGCAGGTTAATCACTTGGTAAGGATAATTTTATTCTTGTTGTTGGAACATACTAGATGTAAAGAAATTAATGGGCTTAAAGTAGTTGTTCAGGAAAGATGATAAACTGAACCAAGCCAGCAGCTGTAATGTAGGGATAGATAAGAGGACCAGATATATTTGAGAAGAGTAATGAATAGAAATAATATAAATTGTTTTATGTTAGAACAGGATAAAATAAGGATGCAAAAAAGGCTAGATATTTTTAAAAATAGAGAGTTGGCATATAACAAATAAGCATTCACAGGAATGGAGCAGCTCTTGGCTAGTCTTTTTGAGTACCTTTCTAGCTTTATACAGTGTTCTTATTCTGGTCTTAAGGATTTCACTGTCAGGTTTTAGAAATAGGATGCCAGGTTGTTTTGTCTTCTTTTAGTCAGGAAGTTCTGCTGAAACCTGTCCTCCATGAATGACTGTACCAATATTTTAAATACACATATTCTCCACAGTAATCATATTAGAGTTGACCTACATTGTGTGGATGCAGTCAGTGTTCTGGGGAGGTTCTTAATTTTCTGACGTGACATGAGAAGAAACAGTTGTAAATGTTTATCAATAATTGGAATATACAAAATAAGAATGTAGGAAGAGGGAACCTTGTTAAACATTAAAATAGAAGGCATAAAAAACCAGTTCTAGACATTAATGAGCTGAAATGGACAAATATTGACCATTTTAAATCAGATAAGCATGTATGTGGTCTGTTATGCTGAAAATGACAGATTGAAGAGGAATTTTGACCACATTGCTGGTCAAAAAGAACATTACAGGATATCTTCTGGAATATAACTCTATCAGTAATAGGATAGTATCTGTAGGCCTACGGGACAGCCAGGTAATAAAGACTATTAATCAGATTTCTGCACTGACCAAAGATTTTTACCAGTTTTTATAGTCTGAAATTGATCAAACTTGGCAGTCAGGATCCATTGATAATTATTAATGATTGGAATGTGAAAGTGTGAAATAGTTGGAAAATAAGTGTTGGTGACACTAGAAACAGTGCTGGCAGTCACGTGGCAGAAATTTGCAAGGCTGCTAACTCATTCATTACATATACTCATTTTTCACCAACAAAAATGGCAGTTACACACATGAACCTTGCTGATGGGATATGCAATAAACAGATCAACCATATTTGTGGAAAGAGATGATGGAGTAGCTTTTTATTGTCAGTCAGAATACGACCTGGGGCCTCTATGGGAAAGACCATTAATTACTCAAGTTCCAAGAAATTGAAGAAAATAAAAAGTCCTTAAGAATCAAAATGTACTTTTATCTGTCTCACCTGTGTAACCGTCTCAGGAGTAAGTTTGATGCATTGAACACAGATGATCAAGCTTAGACAAGTTGTAAGATGACAGCAAGGACATCATGTATAAATAAGGCAAAAAACAGTTTCCGGTTGATTCTGATTCATAATGATCCTCTAGAACAGAATAGGAGTGCTATATAGGTTTTCTGAGACTGCAAATCTTTACAGGAGGAGATTCATCTCTCTCCCGTTGAGAGCAGTTTGGCAGGTTTAAACTGCTGACTATTTGGTTAATGGCCCACCTCTTGCCCTGCTCTACCACTAATGTTTCTTGAAAGAAAACAAAAGCTCATGACACAGATAGGCTAGAATGAAAAGATTAAAGTGATATAGGAAGAGAAAACAAAACTTCCTCTTGATAGAATAGCTAAAGCAACTGGAAGAAATGATGAAGTCAAAGAGCTAAAAAAAAAAGACTTTAAAGGACAGCTCTGGAAGACAGTATTATAATGAAATAAAGAAAATAGAAGAGCAGGTAGCACTTCTTTTGCTTGAATTGAATGGAAAAATCCAAACCTTAACTTGCAATACTGAAGTACTGTGGAAAATATTGAATAACCTTAGGAATAGAAAGAGATGGAAGAAATACAGTCACTGTACCACTGTTGACAATCAGCTATTTTAGGAGTTGATATACCATGAAGAACCTAAGGAAGAAGTTGAAGGTGCTCTGAAGGCTTTGGTGAAAAACAGTGATGAATAGCATTGGCACAGACTCTTCTTCTCGTATGCGGATCCTCTGATTTGCCAGTCATGATTTCTTTCTTAGGACTGATGCTTCCTGCCAACATACTTAAAGTATGTGTGACGAAGTATCAACATCTTTGCCTCGTTAGGCAAGTTCAGATTGAAGCTGTAAAAAATAGAAAACAAGTCCATTAGAGCTAAAATACGAACTTGAGTTTATCCTACTTTAAAAACTATTTCAAGAATAGATTTGATATATAGAACACTGATGACTTGTTCCAGATGATTTGTGGGATATCAAAGATAAAGGGTGAGAAGAAAGCATGAAGTCATAAAAAAAAAAAAGGAAAGAGAAAAGATGAAAATGGTTATTTGAAGAGATTCCAGAACATATTAACAGAGTAACATTTAAAATACTTCAACATATACAACCCTGGAAGCACTCACTTGTCTGTGACAAATTTGGAGCACAGCTAGTTGGCCAGTCAGCTGGAAGAAACCTGTATGTGTACCCTTCCAAAGAAAGATGATCCAACAGAATGTGGAAATGATTAGAAAATATCATTAGTATCCATCCCACACTAGTAAAATCTTGTTGAAGATAATTCACAAATGGTTAAAGTAGTTCATTGAAAAGGATATATCAAATATTCAAGCTGGATTCAGCCAGAGGCCATTGCTGTTGTTTGTCTGATAAGTCTTACCTAAAAGCACATATCAGATACTTACTTGTGGGGTTTTTAACTGCATTGGCATTTGATGATGTGGATCATAAATTCTAACATAATGAAGAATGAGATTTCCATTCCAGACACTTGACTGTGCTCAAATCACACCTGTACACAGGCTATGAAGCAATATTTTGAAAGAAATAAGGGAATGCTGTATGGTTTAGAATCATACAAGATGTGTGTCAGGGTTGTATCTTTCCACCATACTTGCTAGGATTTTATAATGAGCAAAACTAGAGTTTGTATGAAGACGAATGTAACTTGTGATATGCAGATGACACAACCATGTTTTGTTAAAAGTAAGAGAACTTGAAGCACTTACTGATGAAGAACAAAGACTACAGTTTTCAGTTTGGATTGTACCTTCACGTAAAACGAAAATCTCGGTGTTCAGTAAGCAACATAATGACAAATGGAGCAAAAATCAAAGTTGTCAAGGATTTCATCTTCTTGAATCCATAGTCAATATCCACAGAAGCAACAGTGATGAAATCAGATGATCTGCTTTACTTGTCAGATCTGTAGCAGTTCTCATAGTAAAGAAAAGCAGGTGTCACTTGGAAAACTTGGGTGAGTTTGACCCAAGGAATGTTCATTTGTCTCATATGCGTGGGAGCTCTGGGTAATGAATTATACCGCCAACCCAAAGACAGAGTTTTAATCTACCAGCTTCTTCAGTTTAGAAAGATGGACAGTCTCCTTGCATCCAATTTCAGCCTCTACAGAGGTGATGGAGGACTAACTATGAGTTGGGGCCAACTAGTTGTGGGGTTTTTGCTTGGTTGTTTTTGCATTATATGCATGGGATAACTGGAGAAGTAGTAAGGAAGATCAGAGAGAACTTATGCAAGAATTAATTATGTTGTCTGCAAAGAATATATGAGTATACCATAGTTTACCAGAAGAATAATGCTTGGCAGAGTAAAGATCAGCAAAAAAGGAAAGCTCTTTAATAGGATGGATTATTAACCCATTAACTATGACAAGTGTCCACAACAGATTGTGCAGATGGAGCTGAACCAACATTTGTTCTGTTGTACATGGGGTTTCTTTCAGGCAGAACTGACTCAATTAACATCACATGTAGGTAATGTGGAGGGAGCTCGTTAAATGTATTTGGTGAGTTTATTTTGTAGTTCCTGGATAATCAATATCCACAGAAGCAACAGTGATGAAATCAGATGATCAAACTAAACTCAGCAGCCTAGTAATGCAGTGAAGTAAGTGTTGGGCTGCAAAGCAAAAGGTAGGCAGTTAAGAATTACCAGCCACTTCACTGGAACGAAATGGGTGGATGGCTACTACTGTATAAAGATTTACAGCCTTGGAAACCTGATAGGGCAGTTCTACTCTGTTTTATAAGGTTTCTATAAGTCAATTAACTTGATGGCGAGACTTTAGTTTCATTTGAATCTGGTGGCTTAGTGATAAGGAGTTACGCTGCCAGTGCAAAAGCACATGGTTCTATTCCACCAGCTTCTCAGTAGGAGAAAAATGGTGTTCTCCTTCCATAGGGTTAACTGGGGAAAACCTGCTGGAGGGTTAGCTATGAGTTGTTTCTGGCTGGACTAATGGTAAAGGACAACAACCTAGACTGTAGAATTTAGAAAAATCTGGAGACTACCTGACATCTCTTGAGGTCGTATATCATCATCACATTTACTTAAGTGAAATTTTTTCATCCAGCTGAACTTTATGCACATTTCATAAAGAAGCCTTGTTAGCTTTTAGAAAAGAAAAATGATATTGTAAAAAGCCAGCCTGTCATTTCTCAAGCTGAAAGAACTAAAGAACAGATTTCAAGATGCAAATTGTTATTATGAAGTATTCTATGGGAAGAAACTTGAATGATACAGGAAACATCAAAAGATGAAATAGAGTCACTGTACCAAAAAGAATTGGTGGGCCTTGAACCATTTAAGGAGGTAGCATGTGATCAAGATCAAATGCTAGTAGGGGAGGAAATTAAGTTGCACTGAAAATATTGGCACATTTTAGTGCCCTGGAGGTTGATGAATTGGAAATTGAAGTGTTTCTGGAAACACATGCAGCCCTGGACTTGCTCACTAGTGTGTGCCAACAAATTTGAATAGGTCCTGTTTATTCTCATTCCCCCAAAAATATGATCCAACAGAGTTCAGACATTACTCAATAGTTAAATCTTTGGAATTTTTTGATGTGGACTGCTGTGCTCATCCAGGACTACTTGTCTGGTGAAGCACCTTGGTTGATACTCCATCAGTTTCTGGGGCCTTGTCTTTTTGCCAATGTCTTCATTGCAATTTGAGCTACTTCCTTCATTACCTTTATAGGTTCATCCCTTATGACTTAGGGATAAATTTGTACTCTTCACCAAGTCAACAAAATTATGTATACTATGGCTCTCATTCAGTCTCTGGGTTCCTCATGTAAAACTTTTCTCACTTCTTTGCAGCAGAAGCTGAACTTCCTTAATCTTTCTGAAACTTATCTTCTAATAACTGCCTCAGCGTTTGTATAAGTTCTATTTCAAATATATTTACCTGATAGCTTTTTAAAATAATCTTACTTCTTCATATGGGGAGCTCTGTGGTCTTCACTGCAGTCCCAAAGGCATGTGGTTCAATCCCACCAGCTTCTCTGCAGGAGATGGATGGGCAGTCTCCTCCCATGGAATTAACAGCCTCTAAAAACCTGGTGGAGGGTCAGCTGTGGATCAGTTCTGACTCAGTGCATAACAATAACAACATGACTCTCATTCAGTCTCTGGGTTCCTCACATAAAACTTCCCACTTCTTTACAGTAGAAGCTGAACTTCTTAATCTTTCTGAAACTCATTTTCTAATATCTGCCTTAGTGTCTTTATGACAGTACATTCTGTTTGGAATATACTTACCTCATAACTTTTTTACTGTCTCACTTCTTCATATAATTCGTCTTTCAGTTATTTCATGAATATGTGTTGAATGAGTAGATGATTGAGAACGTGGAGGGAAGGAATAATTCAGTGAATGAATGTATTCATTCTGGTATTGGAAATGTAGCATTTTTAATACTTGAATGAATAAAAGAAATTTGAGCATTTAAAACCTTACCCTACACTTCTGCAAATAAAGCTCTTTGAAATTATCATATTAGCATTATTAAATTGGTTTGCACATAAAAACAGAAACAGCCAGCCTGAGGAATGGAAAGTAATTAAGTAAGATATAATGAAGTTTATTAATATTTATTACTAAGTCTTTTATAAGTTTATCCTGTTGGAAGACCATTTAGAGATAGTCTTTGACTTTTATGCATTTAATAAATTATCCAGTCAAGTGATTAAACATTTCAAATTCATGATATGCTGTAGACACTGTTAGAGCTTGATAGTAACAGTTGAGTTTGTACTATTATGTATATTTATTTACAGCAGTGGAACTTTCTATAATTAATTTGAATATTTTCTTGCCCTCATTTAAAAAAATAACAGAAAAATGACAGTCCTAGGTTATAAAAAGATTATTAGGTGGACTGAAAGTTTCAGTTGGTAGAACTTGGGAAAGATAAAACATCATGTGATAATATATAATGTGGCAAATGTATCATTGAGAACATTTTTACCTTTAATTACATCTTTTTGCTTAGTGGGACTAGTTGATCTTTGTCACCCACGACATCTGTGGCTTCCCTCTTACCACTTTGTCTAGAGAAACAGATTTAGTGAGACAGACACACACATACACACTCACACCCAGACTATATATGTTTTATTTCAGACTGTCTATAGTTTTGGTAGCTTTTGTCACCTGTGTATGATATGTCATTTAAAAAAAAATTATGAAATATATATGTTCTTGTTAACCACCACCAGATAAGATACAGAACATTTCTCACATCCTAGAAGTTTCCTTTCTGTTTTCTCTTAATTATTAACCACTCCACCTTCCAGTATTGTCAGCCCTTTTCCTCCTAGATTTGTTTTTTCCCTGTTTCATATAATTGAATACATAATTTGGATCAGTACTCTGGATATTTGAAGAAGAATTTATTAACAACAATAAACTTGACTGAAAAGAGGCTTATGTTTTTGATAATGAGAGAAATTTCATTCTTGGGCATATTAATATTTACTGAATAACTAAAATATATGGAAATGACAGATCTATCAGCTGTTAACCCTTCCCAGTGAAATTTCTTATGAAGTTTTTTCTAGTGTAATATTGTAAATTAGTGGCAAGGTGACATTGATGATAGAAAATAATTCATGCTTCAAATATATTTGTGTTCTTTAGCCAGTGACAGTTTAAGAGTTTGCTTTTATTTTCTAAAATGTGTAAATTAGTGTCAGTCTGTGTAGTTATTATGTGGATTTGTACTTTATGTGTACACATTGAATATACTATAGTTTTGTTGACTTTGAAGTTCCATAGGGTAATTTTTATTACCTGACTTACCTAATTTTATTTTTAGGAGTTATGGTGCAGCACCTGTAAATCTTAACATCAAGACAGGAGGAAGAGTTTATGGAACTACAGGTAAACTTTGTACAGTTGTCCCTCAGTATCTGGGAGTGATGAATGCTAGGAGCTCTCATGGATACCGGAACCCTCAAATATTCATCCCTTATCTAAAATGGTATAGTGTTTACATAGAATCTGCACATATTCTACCATAGATTTTGACCATCTTTAAATTAACTAATAGTACTGTGAATATGTGTAAATAGCACTGAATATTCTTGTGAGAGTGCTTTGACCACTTAATTTGTCCCCTATCTGAATCTTCCCCACTTCTAAATATTTTGACTTAGGGTTAGTTGAACCTGTGAATGTAGAATTCTTAGATTCAGATGGCTGCCTATATTTATAGTTGCTTTAATAGGATTTTTCTGAATTGTTCACAAATAAACTAAAAAAACAACTTAGGGCTGTCCAGTTGGAGAGTATTAAAACAAATCCTTGTGAACTAAAATATGATCTTGAGTGTATATCAATTGAATGTAAAAACTGTCTTAAGAATACATTTGACACATTCAGCACTGACAGATGAGTTGTGGAATGGCATTAAGGACCTCATCTATAAAGAAAGTAAAACATCAAAGACTGGGAAAAGAGAAACAACCAAGAAGATGCCAGAAGAGAGAAACTTTTAATGAAAAGAAGCAAAGCCAAAAAAATGGGAAGGAATACTGAGGTATGAGAACTGAATAGAATATCAAAGGCAGCTCAAGAATACAGAGCAGAGTATTATAATAAAATGTGTAAGGAGCTGAGGTTATAAAACCAGAAGGAAAGAACACTCTCAACAGTTCTCAGACTGAAAGAATTTGAACAAATTCATGTGTCAAGTTGCAATGCTGAAGGATTCTGTAGGCAAAATCTTGAATAACGCAAGAAGCATCAAAAGAGTGTAAGAATACTGAGGTACTATACAAAAAGAATTACCTGCACTGAAAAACTTTTGAAAAAGTAGTGTGTGTTCAAGAACCAATAGTACTCAAGGAAGATTTCTTAAGCATCACTGAAGGCAGCTGTAGGAATTGATGGAATACTAATTAAGGGGTTTCTAGAAACAGATAGATCCTTGGATATGCTCACTAATCTCTGCCAACAAATATGGAAGACCCTATTTGGCCAGCTGACTTGAAAGAGATCCGTATTTGTTTCCATTCCAAAAAAGATTGATCTAAGATAATGTGGAAATTGTTGAGCAATGTCATTAATATTACAATGCACATAAAATCTTGTTGAAGATTATTATAAAATGGCTGAAACAGTACATCTACAGGAAACTGCCAAAAATTCATACTGGATTCGGAAGAGACGGTGGACAGAGGGATGTTATTGCTGATGTCAGATGCATCTTGATTGAAAAGACAAGACCAGAAAGATTTTCTTGGCTATGCAAACACCTTTGACTATATCATAACAAATTTTGAATGGTGGTAAGAAGAATGGGAATCCCAGAACACTTCATTATATTTATGTAAAAGCTATATATAGACTAAGAAACAGTTGTCTGAATAGAATGAGGGAACATTGCCTGGTTTAAAATCAGGAGAGGTGTGCAACAGGGTTGTCTTTTGTTCATACTTTTTTAGTGTGAATGCTGAGGAAATACTTTGAGAAACTGGAGTATAAGAAGCAGAGTATATCATCAGATTTGGAAGAAGACTCATGAACAACCTCATTATGGAAATGACAAACTTTGTTCCAGAAAATGAACAATTGAAGCATTTCCTATAGAACATCGTACTATTACTATATCTATTAATACAGGTTTCATCTCAACATAAGGAAAAACAAAAGTCGTCACCACTGTATCAATAGGTGACATATTGATAGGGAAAAAAAAAGTTAACCAAAGATTTCGTTTTACTTGGATCTATAACCAACACCCTTGGTGTAGCCGTCACAAAATCAAAAGATGTGTTGCTGCTCTCCAGGACTTAACCAAAGTACTAAAAAATAAAGATTTCCATTTAATAACTAAGGTGTACCTGATGCTTAGAAAGGAAGACAATGCACAAGGAAGATTGATGCAGAATCAATGTTTTTGAATTGTGGTTGCTGGTGAAGAGTATTGAATATTCCCTTGTACTACCAAAAGAATAAACAGATCTGTCTTGAAGGACGTGCAACCCATTTACTCTTTAGAGGCAAGGGTGATGAAGCTTTGTCTGACTTTGGTCATATTATTAGGAGGAAATAGTTCTTGGAGAGAGAAATCATGTTGGTAAAGGGTCAGTGAAAGAAGAAATCACTCTAAGAGATGTACTGATGAAGTGGGTACTGGAATGAGCTTGAGCATTACAGAGATTGTGAGACTGGTGCAGGATAGGGCAAGGTTCAGATCTCTTGGTTATAAGGTTCCTGGAAGTTGTCATTTACTTGAAGGCACCTAACAACAAGCGGGGGCGGGAGGGGGGTTGTGTGTGTTTTGCATAACGCAGATTGTTAATAGATCTTCCACCAATCCTGACGCCACACTTCTCATAGAGCCCAGCCTCTCGGATAATCTGCTCTGCATATAGGTTGAAAAAGTATGGAGATAGGACATCCCTGGCGTATACCCTTCCCAATTTTGAACCATGCAGTGTTACCCTGCTCTGTCCTGACGACTGCCTCTTGGTCCAAGTTAGGTTTCTCATTAGCACGATTAAATGGTCTGGGATTCCCATTCTTCTCAGAGTCAGCCACAGTTTGTTATGATCCACACAGTCAAACGCCTTTGCATAATCAGTGAAACACAGATAGGCATTCTTCTGGTATTCCCTGCTTTCAGCTAAGATCCATCTAATATCCCTTGCTGCAGAGGGTCAAGGACTGCAGCCTTCAGTATGGACTGAGGCTCAATGTCAAGAAGACAAAGATTCTCACCACTGGACCAATTGGCAAACATACTTTGGACATGTTGTAAGGAGGGACAGGTCCTTGGAGAGGGACATCATGCTCGGGAGGGTGGAGGGACAGTGCAAGAGGGGAAGACCTTCTATGAGGTGGATTGATTCAGTGATTGGGGTAATCAAGATGGGTGTATCGGAGACAGTGCGATTGGCACAGGATAGAGCAGGGTTTGGGGCTGTTGTACATAGGGTCACTGGGTCGCAAGCAACTTGACGGCACGTTACAACAACAAGAAGCCACCAGAGCTCCCTTGTAAGGAAGAAATCTCTAGTCTCTACTCCATTTGATTTATGACTACACCATAAAGATTCAATCTCACAAATTTTTATTTGTAGTAAGTATTACTGTTAATACTCTGTTTTGAAATTTTGCATTCCTGATACTAGGAATATTAAGTATTAGATTTCTGTTTTATCTGTGCTGTCTCATTTTCTTGCTAATATAACTGTATTATTATTTTGTAATTTTATAACATAGGAACAAAAGTCAAAGGGGTAGACCTTGATGCACCTGGAAGCATTAATGGAGTTCCACTTCTGGAAGTAGATTTGGATTCTTTTGAAGATAAACCATGGCGTAAACCAGGTATGATTTTTGTGATTATGTTTGTGTTTAAAAGTTCTGTTATCAAAAAAGTATTTTTTAAATATCATTTTTGTAATGAGTAATGACTGCTTCTATTACCAAATCGTAGTGACTTAACATTTATTAATGATTTTTTAATGCAACATACATATTTACAGCATATTCTTTCCATTTACTTTCCCTCCATTCATTCATAGTTGCACATTTTCCTCCCTGCCCAGTTTGTTTTTCTCTTTGAAGGGAAAAAAAAATTCTTTCATTGTTACATATCCTTCCCCCCCAGTCCACAGTCCACTTGTATATGCATTTCTTTTTCTGTAATCTTGTCATGAAAATAATACCTAATCCTATATTCCTTTTAAACAGTTTTCTCCCTCATCTGTTTCAATGCAGTTTACATTGCTTGTCCCCTCTTTTCTTAGGTTGCCTCCAACCCCAAGGTGTGCTTTTGTGACTGAGATCTTTGACTCAGCATATGTCCTCCAGGGTCACCCATTTTGTATATTTCTTGAGTTCTTTGTTTTTCAATGCAGCATAGTATTCCATTGTGTGAATATATCACAGCTTCTCTATCCATTCGTTTATTGATGGGCACTTGGGTTGTTTCCAGTTCTTTGCTATTGTGAACAAAGCTGCAATAAACATGGGTGTGCGTATATGTGCATGGGTGGCAGTTTTTGTTTCTTTAGGATTATATTCCCAGTAGCGGACTTGCTGGGTCAAATGGTATTTCTGTTTCCAGCTTTTTGAGACAGCACCATACTTCCTTCCATAGTGCTTATACCATATTTTTTTATTTCTAAAAGAAATTATTTTTTATCAAATTATTTCATTTTCTTGCGTTATAGTGATAATTTGGACAACTAGTAGAAGGTACACTAGGACTAAGCAAACATTCGAATTTTAAAATTTTATTTTATATGCTGAATAAAGAATTGGTATAATTGTGTAATAAAATTAATTTTTACATTTAGGTGCTGATCTTTCTGATTATTTTAATTATGGGTTTAATGAAGATACTTGGAAAGCTTACTGTGAAAAACAAAAGAGGATACGAATGGGACTTGAAGTTATACCTGTTACCTCTACTACAAATAAAATTACGGTAATTAGTAAATATTCCAGAATACCCCAGCTGTTTTCCATTTCCAGTTTAAATTCCCAAATAAATTACTTTTTTCTTATAAAGGTGGTTAAATGTTATGTGATAATTTTTAAAATTTTATTCTCTTTACCCTATTTATTTGTTTTTCCCTTCCTTTTCAGAATTTCATATAATGATAATGATTATATGATGTTTTTAGTCAATTTACGGACTAGCCACAGCTAGTTTGTCTTTATATGGCCTATGAATTAAAAATTATGTGGTATCTTAATGGGGAATATGTTATTTAACTTAGGCCGAAGACTGTACTATGGAAGTTACACCAGGTGCAGAGATCCAAGATGGCAGATTCAATCTTTTTAAGGTGAATTTTAGTAAATTATCCTTGGTTGCTCTCATTTTTTGTTCTTGAGTCTGCTCCCATACCACTACTCAAGTGCCAAGATTAAAGTGGAAATAGCTTTCTTTTTTCCAAACTTTAGCTTCCTGGTGACTTACAATTTGCTGATTGTTGTTTTATCTCCACTTTTGCAAGCATGTGAATTTGTATAGCCTATTATACTAACAAATGCCAAGTAAAACTCTTTGCTATATGTTGTAATTTTATTTTTAGTCATAGTTATATGTATGTTTGTGGGGTACAAAAAATTTTATGCCAGCAGGCTAAACTCTTGTAGCAGATGATTATGATATTTATCAGTAGAATTAGAGATTTATGTTTTCCAGTTTTGTTTTTAAAAGTAGTAAGACTTATGTTGCTTATAATTTCTGTGACACTGAAATAATTGATAAAATGTTTCATAGTTTAAACTATTTTAAGAATCTTAGGCATTGTCTGAGTCTCTAAGATTTCAACAGAGTTCTGCTTTCTAACTTCCCTATTCCACGGTATGATGAGAAACTATGTCCAAGAAAAAAGAATACATTTGTGTACTTTTGTTACTACCCACAAACCCATAAACCTTCCTTGCAGTCTGATTTGGTTGCCATTTCTGTTTGTGCCTCTTTCTTTACCTTAATGTATGATTCTTGCATTGATCACCACTGAAATGAAGACTGAGCGTTAGTTTTAGATGAATTTTTTATATATATTTTATTTTTCGTGGGCTGGATGTAGAATTTTATGCCCCTTTTGGGACTATCCTCCTGTCCACCAAAATACTGCCTTATGCAATGCATGTGCTATATCTGCAGATGTAACCGCTCTGCTGGACACAGTTGTGTATAGAGAATTTAATTTAAATTTTCCTTCCAACTTTGGGTAAGTATTTGGCTCTTGTTTTGCTGTAAATATTTTGAAAGTGTGTGATGATGTCTATACTATTTTAAGTGATGATCACATTCTGTTTACCATAAAATATTATCTACATTAGTTTTTGCCTATTTTAATGCAACGAATAGGTAGAAAAGTTGTCTTGTTAATGAAATAGTTTGCAGAGGTCCTTATGATTTCATCAGAAATGAGACTTTATAAACTGCTACCTCCTTTATCTTTTAACACTAGATTCTACATTCCTAACAATAAAAATAACTCGAGACTGGTCTGTCACTGAAAGAGGGCATCATGAATGAGCTTTTTCAATATACACATTAAATTACCTACTGGAAAATTATTTTGAAGTTGCTTTTGGCTATGGAAGGAGTCTACTGGCTTATGATTTGATTCTGGGTGAATATGTACTTTAATCGTTAGACATTCTCTTGTTAATGTACTTACGTATTTATTAATATGTATTAGAAGTGCTGTGTTTGGAATAGGATGTTTATGTTAATAATGTTTGACTCTTAACCTCCTCCTTTTCTTTTAAAAGTCTATGATGTGGTTCAGGAGCCCTCTGTAGTGCATTACATTAGATGCTACCCAAAAATTTGATGGTCCAAATTCATCAGCCAGTCTTATAAAGATTTGTAGCTTTGGAAATCCTTTGGAGGGTAATCGTGAATTGGAATTGATTTGATAGCAGTGAATGTTTTGGTTTGTTTTATTGGTTGTTGAATCCTGTTTCATTAATAAAACTTAAAATCTTCAGTGGTGTGTAGAATTGTTTGACATTTGTAGGCTACGGTTGCCTTTACATTTGCATTACAGGTAAATGGTATGCTACCTTAGATCAGTTTAACAATTCCCTTGTTAACATTTTTATATGGCTGTTGCCTTCCACTACTTATTACTCTTCCATCTTTGGGAAATTAAAAAATGATGAAGATACTGATATTTCAAATTTATAGCAGTAAACTTATTAGGTATCATTAAGCACCACTGTGTATTTAGAATGCTGTCACGTTTGGAGAAAGGAAATGAGACATTATTTTGGGGTTATAAATTGCATTGTTACATGTAGGTCATTTTTGTTTCTGTGTTTTTTCCTTAAGTAAGATAAAATAGTTCAAAGAATTTAATAGTTTACTCACAACCTTGAGAATATGGGGAAGAAAAGAAAAATATAGTAAATCAAGGAAATGACTTGGGTGAGGAATTGTGTGTTTTAAATTAATAAATACAGGTGAGATTATTTAAGAAATTGGCTTTATTGGATCATTTCTTTTTGGAAACGAGTATGAGAGAGATGGCTTTGTAGAATGCGGTTTAAATATAAAAACCTAGTCAGGTGTGTTTCAGGAATTATTGCTTATTTCTGAGTGGTAGAGACTTAGAAGAAAGGATTCTGGTAGCAGTGTGGTGTAATTGGAAAAAAAATGTACACTCATATCCATTTGTTCAACATGTACCAAAACTATGAAGCTTCTGTTAGGTAAAGCCTACTTTTCTTGATTGTGTCACTTTGATTATGTCAGGCACTGTGTTAGATGTGTTTTTATTTAAGGAACTTGAGAACTGAATAAATAATTTGACATGTTTAAGTCTTTTTAAGTACATTAATGTAAAGGAATAGAAATTGCTGCAAATGGTATGTTGTTGTTTTAACCAAGCTGATATTTTAAAAAATGTGTAAGAAATCTTTTCCCAAGCTGCTTTTTAATATTTGTTATTTTTATTTCTTTACTTTGACTTTTCTCATTTGTCTGTTGGTCTTTGTGGCCATTCACTTATATGAGAGTGGGCCACTAAAGATTGATTGTTAATTCTTTGCTTGTAAGTGATACTTATTGACTGGAGGGTTCATTGTTTTGCTATTGTTGTGTTCCTTTGAGTTGACTTTGACTCATAGTGACCCTGTGTAATTGAGTAGCACTATCCCAAAAGCAAATCCCCAGATACCCTGCAGAGCTACAAAGTGGGTTAGAGGTACCAGCAGCCTTCGTATTAGTGGCTGAGAACTGTTTGTGTTATCAAAGCTCTTGGACTTCATTCTGTTCTTACTGTTAGGTGAATAATGAGGATATATGAAAGAGTACAACTGCCCTGTGGGGTTTTGCAGGCTATAATTTTGCAGGGGTAGATTACTAGGTCTTCTGCATAGTTTTTTGGTGGGTTTGAACTGCTAATCTTTTGTTTAGTAACTGAGAACCTAGCCATTATGCCACAGAGATAGACTTTACTGAAGGGCTAAACTTTTTTCAGAGTCCTGAGTTGTCAGTGTCTTTATGGTGGTTTGGGTTGTTGTTTTTTGTTTGTTTGTTTTTGTTTTTTAATTTCCTTTTTGTTAGAGTAATCTGATTTTTCAAAGGTGAAATTTCTTTACTGCTTGTTAATTGTTGTGCACCATTGAGTTGGAACCAACTCATAACTGACCCTCCACCAGGTTTTCAGAGGCAGTAAATTGTGCAGAAGGAAATTGCCTATCTTTCAAGCTGCATACAATAGGCAGCATAATTCCTTCCCACCAAGCTATCAGAGTTCCCTTATCTACCACCTTGTTTGTATTTGTTATTGAGTACTGTTGAGTCAAAACTGACTCTTGGCTGACCTTAGTGGATTTTCATAGGCATTAAGTCTCCTGAGAGGATATTACCTATCTTTCTACTGCCTAGAGGGCAGAGGTGATTGTTACTAGGTGCGTGCCTTGGGATCAAGTACAACTCACAGTGACATTATGAAGAACAAATCTGAGCCCTATTTTATTCTTTGCTATCCTCATCAGTTCAGACATACTTGAGCCTTTTGCAGCTGTCACTGTCAGTCTGTTTGGTTGAGGATCTTCCTCTATTTCATTGACCCTTATGTCCCTATCCAAGAAATAGCCTCTCCTAACAGCATACCCAAAGTATGTGAAGACTAAGCTTTGTCATCTTTGCCTCCAAGGAGCACTCTGGCTGAACCATTCTCCAGAGCATATCTGTTTGTTCTTTTCAAAGGCTCTTCTCCAGCATCACAACTCAAAGGCATCAGTTCTTCTACTGTCATCTTTATTCATTGTTGCAGAGAAGACATTCATAAAGGCAAGATTATTGTCCGGCTCTCAGATGTATAGCAAATGATTGAAAAGGCCATGTCCGGAATTAGGTGCACTTTTGTTATCAAACTGACATTTTTGCTCTCTAGTAATTTGGAGAGGTCCTTGACTACAGACTTTACAGATGCCATTCCTGATCTCCTGACTGCTAGTAACTGTGTTGATTACCAATACAAGTAAAATGAAGATGTTGACAGTTTGAATCTTTTCTCTATCTATCATGATGTTGCAAATTGGTTCAGTGGTGAGAATTTTTGTTAAAGGCTGTGATCTTTGATCTTCTATAGTAAGTGCTTCAAGTCCACCTTACTTTCAGCAAGGATATTTGTGTCATCTGCATAACAAAAGTTATGATGAATCTTCCTCCAGTCCTGATACCCCATTCTACATAGAGTCCAGCTTCTGATGAGCTGCTCAGCATACAAATATCTTTCCTCATTTTAAACCTCCAGTCAGCATCTGATAGACGGTGAAGAGATTAAGATTCTTAACAACTTTAGTTTGCTTGACTCCACAATCAGCACTCTTGGTAGCAGCAACCAGGAAATCAGTAGACAAATTGCATTGGGAAAGTCTGCTATCAGGGACCTCTCCAGAGTATCCAAAGTACTGAAGAAAAACTATGTCATTTTGGAAATTGAGGTGCGCTTCATCCAGGCCATGGTCTTATCATTTACCTGCTATGCATCAGAAAGCTGGACAGTGACGAGGGATGATAGAAAGAGAATTGATGCCTTTGAATACATTGTGGACTGCTAGGAGAACAAACAGTTTTGTCTTAGAGAGGGTGAAACCAGGTTACTCCTTGGAGGCAAGGATTCTGAAGCTTCATCTCATATACTTTGGGCATGTTGAAAGGAGGAACCAATTCTTGGACAGGGACCTCATGCTTGGAAGGTTGGAAGGACAGAACAAGAAAGGAAGACCCTGGATGAGATGGATTGACTCAGTTACTGGGGTAGTGGGAGTGGATGTGTCAGAGACCATAAGGTTGGCAGGATAGAGCAGGGTTCAGAGCTATTGTTAAGAGTCACAGGCAATTTGATGGCATGTAACAACAAGTGTTCTCTTGCTCTGTTCGTACAACAGCCAGTAGATTTCACATGAGCCACAATTAAGTGTTTGGGGATTCCTGTTCTTCTCAGCATTAGCCATAATTTGCTATGATTTCCACAATCAAATGTCTTACATAATCAATAAAGCACGTTCTTCTGGTATTATTTGATTCCAGCCAGGATCCATCTGATACCAATATATTCTTGGGTAATTCAGAACTTCTACAGTATGGAATTGCCAGTTTCTAAATATACAATGGGGATATTCTGGTGGTGTAATCTGGAAGGAATTGTGCTGCTAGTGCAAGGGCCATATCTCTGGCAGTTTCCACCAGCTGTTCTATTGGAAAGAGATGGGTGAGCAGTTTACAGTCTCAAAAGCAGTGAACTGAGTTGAAATCTCTACGGTTCTGTTTCTGCTTCCCCATTGCTAACTTGGAATTAGCTTTATTTGACCTAATCAAAAATTTATTTTCAAAGTTCTAAATTTTACTACTTCACCAGATATTTTCTTCTTGTAGGTGTAAGTAAAATTTTGATTATTTATATAGTTTCATACTATTCCTTTTTTTACCTCAATATGTAGTCAATGTTTCCATGGGGGCGGGGTGTGTGTGTGTGTGTGTGTGTTGTTTTGTTTTGTTGTGTACCTTTGAGCTGGAACCAACCTGTAGCTGCCCCTCCAGTGAGTTTTCAGAGGCAGTAAATCACATGGGAAGAGATTGTGCACCTTTTCCCATGAAATATATAGTGTATTTTTATTGCATACCTTTGCCTTGGTAGTGTAGTTCCTTACCACTAAAAGCCACCTGAACTCTGTATATGTGTGTTAGGGTGCATATGTTTATATAGATGTTTGTATGTGTGTATATACATATACCCCCATCCCAGTTTGTTATTTGTAATTGTACTACAATTTATTAAGTTCCTATTTCTTAGATATTGTTTGAGCAACTCAAGGAAATTTGAGAAAAATGAAACAATTTAAGTACATATTCAGTTCTTGGAGTCACAGACTGTAGATATGTTTGAATGTGTAAGGTTTGGTAGGTCTTGCTTTTAATTTCAAAATATTTTTTACAGACATTTCTCAAAATAGCTCATGTGAAATAATATTCTCAGTATGCTCTGAATAGATACAGTTTGACTATATGTAATCAGTGTAGCATTGGAAGGTGACTGTTAAGTGGAAGAAAATAATCCAAGCTAATAAGAAGAGATGCTATAATTATCAGGGTTTTCAAGATTGTCTAAGAATTGAGGAAATTAAGGAGAAAATAAATCTAAATTAAGAGAAACAAGCAGTTACCATGTGTTTGAAGATTGCCCTTCTGAGTTTGGTGTGTTTTTAAAATATTTTTACTGTGATTTGAGGGAAGGATTACAAGGCAAATGACTTTTTCTTGTAATCATTCATACACATTGTGCTATATAACTTTAACTTCAATACTCACAATATAATCATACTTCCTTCTTGTAGTTTTGATTCCCATTCCCATTAATCCTTCTGTCCTCTGTCTTCTCCTTCTTTAATGATTTTTAGTTTTGCATAACACTGATCTTATAAAATTATGTGTCCTTTTTTGACTTAGTTAATTTAGCATAATGTCAACTAACTAGGTGCATCCAATTATATATTAATGAAATTTGGTGCTTCCTTAGAAAGTAGGGAATAGATATACCACTGGATTCATTCCTAGATCTATCTGCCAAAGAAATAAGAGCTGAAGCATGAACAGATAAATGCACAGCCATGTTCATTGCAGCATTATTTACAATAACTAAGACAAATACAATCAAAGTTGTCAGTCAACATACCAGTGGGCAAAAAAAAATTATATTCACATTAATACACATTGCAGCACTTTAAAGAAACCTCAACATGAAACATGTTTTGTCTTCTTGATGTTTTTTCTCGCCTTTCTAGGTTCCTGTTCTTTGCCTCTTCCTCATTATTTCGTTTCCTTTTTTCTATTCTTCTTTGTCCCAAATTTTGATTTATCATTTTCTATGCCAGAAAATTGTGGATGGGCCTAATAGACATAGACCCTATTGTCTTGAAGTTCAGCTAAGTAAGAAAAATAGATATTTATTAGCCATAGCAAAAATGACAATACCTGCTACTCATGTGGAGAAGGAGGATCAGAGAGAAGATTGTCAGCAGGTTGAATTTTGAGCATATTGTGAGGGTAGTGTACAGTAGGGCTGCTTGTTCCTAGGGTCACTGTTGTAGTTGACATGATGGAGCCTAACAACAGTAAATACTTTCTCACTGTCTTATCTCCTGTTTCATAGTTATAGCAATAGCAAGCATTCAACTGTTTTGCACATGCATGGCATAGGTCTGACAGTAATGAAGGGTGAGTTGCTAGTCTGGAGTAATGTAGACACTATACCCATTAAAGCCTTGTCTCTTTGGTCTGTGATTCTCAGTGGTTTGGCAGTTATGCTTGGATGTAATTTTCCTGTTGAATAATAATGCAGTCATCCTATTTTTGGATAATACTGTTTTTCCACATAATAACTTGACTTTTAGAATTTAACCATATTAGTAAATGAGTATAGTAATAAACTGTTGTTCTATGAAGGACTTTTAAAAAAACCATTAGTGGGACACTTCACGAGTCAGATTTAAAAAAGTTTTCTTTTGAGCTCTTTTATGTATGCTACACACTGTTTGCTAGGAGCATGAGATACAGAATTGAACTTGGTGTAGTCATGACTTCAGGGATCTTAAGATGTCAGCATAAAGAAATATAACAGGGTACATATGATATCTCCAGACAATCATCTTAGTGGGAAGTTCCAAACTGGACTGATAAGCAACGCCATGTTAGATGGAGAATAGTTTGAAATTGTCAGCAATTTCATCTTACTTAAGTTCATAATCAACTTCGTTGGTAACCATATTCAGGAGTTTGTATTGCAGTGCATAAGTTCTTTGTAATGGACCTCTCCAAATTACTGAGGAGCACTGATGTCAGTTTGAAGACTTAAGATATGCCTGATTCAGGCCCTGGTTTTTTTTTCCATCTGAGAGCTGGGCAGTGAATGAGAATGATAGAAGAATAATTGATGACTTTGAGATATGGTGTTGGAGAAAAGTATTGAATATCCCATGGACTGCCAAAAGTACAGATATGTCTTGGAGAAGGCACAACCAGAGTGTTTTTTAGAGGCAAGGGTTGCTTCATCTTACACATACTTTGGGCATATAGCTAGAAGGGAATATTTTGTGGAAAAGGAACAGCATGCCAGGACAGGGGGAAGGTCCCATGGACTCCTTGCCATGTGAACAGATTTGTCTAGGAGAGAATACTGGCAGAGTGCTCTTTAGATGCAAGGATGATGAAGCTTCATCTCACATAATTTGGTCATGTTGATTAGAGAGGCAATTCTTGAAGAGAGAATCATGCTTGGAAAGGTGGATAGTCAGGAAAAGGAGGAAGACAGTGAGATGAAGTGACACCGTGACTGCAGCACTGGGTTCAAGTGTGTAGATACTTTTTTATAGTGTTTATTGATACTGCTTTAATTGTTTCTGGGTGTCTTTTTCCCTATGTGTGAGATTCTGTTGTTTCTGATTGTAACCTCAGCCTCTGTTACATAATCTATTTTACATGTTTGGTGAATACATTATCTTCCCTGTTGCTAGATCCTCTCAAATTTACTTGTTACACAGTGATCAGATCCATTTGTCTTTCTGTGCTTATTGATAAGATCGGTGCATTTTATACATTTTGGCTTTTTGCTTTTGATTAGTAGAACTCAGTATCACATACAATCTCAAAGTGATATCTCCATAGTGTGACTATATCAACTGGGGATTGATTTCAACACAATTAATAAAAAATAACACTGTAATGTTTCAATTGTATAAGAGGTTTTTGTTTTAATTAACAATTGGCTGAGAGGTAGGTGTCAGGGTCATGCATGTCAAGATAACGGTGTTTGAGAAGCTCTTGGTTTTTGCTTCACAGAGAGTGGTGCTGAGTTGGGAAAGAATAAATGCAGTCTCATTTAAGCATTCTAAAATGTGATGTTATGTGTCAAGTGTAGCTTAATAAAAACAAAACCATTGCCATTTAGTCAGTTCTAACCTGTAATGCTAGAAATTTAACTACAAATTAGCCAAATGAATTTGACCTTTGTTTGAATTTAGTAAATTCTTAACTATTATTTTAAGATAGGTGGATGGATAGAAGAGCAAAAAAGCATAGGGAAGAGATTTTACTAGTGTAAGAAAATATAACTGAATAAGTAAGAAATGTGGTAGGAGCAGAATAGATGGGATGGGCAAATCTTGGGGAATATAAATACTAATTTGGTTTGAAAGTTAATATAAAAAGGGAGAGAGATATATTAAAAGAGGTGAAGTGTCTGATTTTAAGCTTCTAGGTTTGTTGAACTGGCACTATTGAAGGTGATGAGAAAGCATTGGGGAGAAATTGTATGGAAGTGCAGGAATAGATTATTCACATTCATATTATATTTGTCTGAATAGAAGATGGTCTGAATGGCTAAAATAGTCACTGTTTTGGTTAGATAAGGATAATCACATTAGAATTAGAGAATCTTCATACCCTTTCTTGAATTCTGAAGTCTCACCATTTTGGACTTATTCTCTGGTGAGATAGCATCCTTCAGTTTTTGATGTTCTTCATTTAATGTTATTTGAAAATTGGTTAATTTTATAGTCAGCAACAAAACATTCTTCATTCTTAATCTTCACATCAAATGTTATATGAACATTTGATTTAACAGTAGATTTATTTTAAGTGCATTATACTTGTTCTATTAAACTAATGACCCTTTTGTTTAAGGTACAGCAGGGAAGAACTGGAAATTCAGAGAAGGAAACCACACTTCCGTCTACAAAAGCTGAATTTGCTTCTCCTCCTTCTCTCTTCAAGACTGGACTCCCACCTAGCAGGTTAGTAATATAGTTATAAATCAGATGTATTGTAAAATACTAGTATCTTCACATTGTATTAGTGCTATGTAATGTGTAAATTGTCTGAATATTATGCCAAAACCCTGGAATATTTATTTGTGGGGTTTTTTTTTAAACTTAATTGTTTATAAAAGCCATTTCTGGGTGTTATGCTTGTTTTAAAAGAAAAGTCTAGATAAGCAAGAAGTTAGGACGATCTATAGTGCATGTAAGTCTAAAGAGACAGTAATGCAGTATTCATTATCCATCTACTCTTTCCCCGTTTCCCCTCCCACCCGCTCTATCCTATTTTATAACAGCAGATAATGAATACTGCATTAGAACAGAAGAGGAGAACTGCTGTCCAAAAAGGAATATATGGTTAGGCATGATATTTATGACAGTAGTCTGGAACAAGGGGAGTGTTACGGGGTAGTTTAGCCACTATGATGTGGAGTGGGGCCTTAGAAAATGTTCATCGATGAAAAAAGTAAAAAGACAACACTCTTAAATTCAGGAGACTTGGAGACATCAATATTGATCTTGTTGGTTTTCGAGTTTAATTTCCTTACATAGAGGTTTATTGAACTTTCCAAGTGTAAATCTGTTTACCTAAAGGTGACTTCTTTGATTTGGTAAAGGAGGTTTTAGAAAATTTAGTCTGAAACCTTTATATTAAAACTCTTTTCATTGATTTGATGTGGTCGTACTTAGCCTTGTTTTCCAAGGAATACCAGTTATAAAAAGCAAATATTCTGGCAATTGTCCTTTTAACTTAAAAAATGACAAATGGTCATCCTATTACCTCATTTCTCTGCAAGTGGCAAAGTGAAGATGAAGGAAGTTTGATGTTATCAGTTTAATCTTAAGTTAGAGGTGACTTATTTCAGTTATTTCTCTGGACCTACAAGTCAAGAAATCATTTACCTTTTGTATTAAATTTGTTTTATGCAGTTTTTTATTTCTGCTATCTGAGCATGTGACTAAGAGAGACTGGTCCTTGGAGAAGGACATCATGCTTGGAAGGGTGGAGGGAGAGTGCAGGAGAGGAAGACCGGGATTGGTGTGTCAGAATTAGTGAGACTGGCTCAGGACAGTGAAGGTTTCAGAGCTTATGTACATAAGGTTGCTATACATCACAGGTGACTCAACAGCGCATAACACAACAATTTTCTATATTGGTTGTTTTTTTAATTTAAGCCTCTGTTTAGAGTCAAGAAGACCTTGGGGAGGGCCTTTGTATTTAAAGTTGGTTGTTACTATATTTTGGAGGAACATTCTTTTAAGTGGTACAGCACTCTTTTGTTAGTATGCTGTGCTGAGGTATCCTGGGTTTGCTGTGGTGTTGAACTTTGTGCCATTGGGGTGTCAGATGCCATAACAGTTATCCATAGTGGACAGTGTTTGGTGGAGCTTGCAGTTTAAAACAGGTTTGGAAGCAGGAGTGGCATCCACTTCCTAAACAACATGCCTCTGGAAACTCTGTGAGCTTTGATAAATGTTGATAGTTACAGAAAGGCTTCAGGCCTTTTGTTCATAGGGTTGCTATGAGATGCGCTCAACTCAACGGCAATCAACAGCAACATTCTACAGTTGTATATCTGCCAGATAAAATAGATTAGACCAATATACTATAAATGTATTAATATACTAATGGTTACCCGTGGTGGACAGTGTTTGCTGGAGCTTCCCGATTAAAACAAGCCTGGATGCAGGAGTGGCATCCACTTCCGAAATGGCTTGCCTCTGGAAACTCTATGTACAGTGCTCAGGCCTTTCGTTCATAGGGTAGCTATGAGTATCTATGACTCGACAGCACCTAACAACAAAAACAACAATGCATGAATAGGCCTTTATGAAAACATTTAATTTAGTTCTATGATAACAGATTTTTAAGGGAAAATAAATATCTTAAAGCCGTCTGTTACTTCTACTGTATATTTTAAAAATTATTAGTTATAGACATTTCCAAATGCGATAATTTAAATATCAGGAAATATTTGGCTAAAGGAGTTAAAATAGTAGAATATTAGTCTTTTATTTTAGTAGGTAATATACTTTTGGTTCCAACATTTTCAAAGATCTCCTTTCATTTTTTGAGTTTATGGTAGCCATAGTATAAGACATTACAATATGAAAAAACTTGGACTCAGGTTCAAATTCCAGATCTGGTGCTTATTAACTGTTTGTTCTTGGCAGATTGGTTAATCTCACTGTGCTGCCATTTCCTAATTAATAAAATTCAGTACTCTTACTAGCTCTGGGGCCTAGTGGCAAGAATCTGTGCTGCAATCCAAAGGCACAGTTGCTCTGCTGAATAAGGATAGACCATTTCCTGTGCAATTAACTGCCTCTGGAGACCTGCCAGAAGGTCAGCTATGGGTCACTTCCAACTCAATAGTACAAAACAATAACAGTTTTACTCACAGGATAGTTTTGCATATTAAATGGATATGATTATGATTTATATAAGTGATCATAGAACACTGATTAAAACATAAATATAGATGTTTGGTATTATAATAATGAAACTAAAATTTGGTCTTTAGTTGTTAATGTTTTGTTTGGAAAGTGGAAGGTCATTGAAGGTCATGAGGAAGGACCCTTACTTAATTGACAAAGTAACTGTACCAGTGGACTTAAAGCATGGCAGAGATTGTGAGGGTAGTGTAGGTTTTGTTCTGTTGTACATAGGGGATTTTCTTGCCAGATCCTACTGATGGTATCTGACAACACAGCATATTGTGCCTTCCTTTTCTTCTTCTTTCCCTCCTCAGGTCAGATTATGGAGTTCTTTCTGCTGTTATAAAGAACTTGTCATTTACTATAATACTTTAATGAATATAACATACATAGAAGTAAGTATACATAAAACACACATGTTGTTTTGTGCCATTAAGTCACAACTGACCCATAGCTGACTCTCCAACAGGTTTTCAGAGGCATTGGGAGATTACCCATCTTTTTTCTGTGCGGCAACTGATAGATTTGAACCACTTGCCTTCAGGATTGCAGTGCAGCTTCTTACTACAAGAACACTAGAGGTCCCTTAAACATGCATTGTACCCACAAAACTAATACTTGACTTTTTGTTTTCTTAACAGTTTTATGCAAATCAAGACAAAATCAATTTTGTCATGAGATTTTAAAGAAGGGAAATCTAAGTTTATAAATTTTCAAATGAACAGATTTAAATGGATTAGAATAGACTTAAGGAGGAAGTATGGGTGCATTGAAGAAAGTGTAGCAATTACTGGGCAAGAGGTGTAAGGGTGACTTGGACTGAGGTGATAGTAGAGATGGTGAGAAATAGTCATGTTCTGGGTAATTTCATATGTAAAGCCAATAGGATATCCTGAATATGGATTATAGAAAAAGAGAATCAAGGATGAGCCCAATTGTTTTGGTCCCTTTTTTTGGAACTGAATCAGAAGGTAGTTTTGTCATTTACTGAAATAATAGAGACTACAGGAGGAGGCTTTTTAGATGAGATGACCAAGATTTCAGTTTAGAACAAAAGACCAAGCAGAAAATTTGAGTAAGCAATTGAATGGATAACAGATCTGGAAGAGATGGTAAAGGCATTGTCTGGAGGTATGATTTGAATGTAATCAGTGTTTCAGTAATATCAGAAGTTGTGAGACTAGTTTAAATCTCAAAAAGTGGTCAGAGGACAGAAATGAAAGTTGCTCCATTTCAGGTCAGAAAAGGAAGGATGAACTAGTGATGGAGACTAATAAAGAGGGAGAAAATTCAGTATGTGTTTTGAAAAGCATGTGTTTTCATAAAAGGAAGAGTATCAGTTTTCAGTATATCATGACTAGGCAAGTAAAGTGAAAATCAAGAACTGACTGTTAACAATAAAAAAATAACAAAAATAAGAAATTAGATAAAAAGGACGGGGGAAGAAAGAAGAATTGATTCTTGGTTTAGAAATAACATGATTTAATAATTGTAAATAGGTTCATTTTCAGTGGTAATGATAAACATAATAGATTGTTGGTATAGGTTCAAAAAGGGATTGGGAGAAGAGGAATTCAAAGCTAGTAGTTTTATTTGCTTCTCAGTAAAGATCAAAAATAGGCAATAGCTGGAATGAAAGAATGATATGTGCAACCAGTAGAAGGTTGGTTGTGTTTTTGTTTTGTTTTAAAAAGAAATGATTAGTAAAAAAAAAAAAAAAGAAAGATTGTATGTGTGTATACTGAACAAGTATTAAAGAAATAAATGATAGAAGGGTTGAGAAGTCTTAGTTGTTAGAGCAGTGTTTTTAATGAAGCCAGAGGAGGTGGGATGCTAGATTATTAGGAACCAGGCAAGTTCGTCCATAGTAATTGGGAAGCTACCAGTACAGGTGGGTGCCTTGTTATTATGTGTTGTTGAGTCACTTGTGAGTCTATTACAACCCTATGTACAGCAGCTCTGAACCCTGCTCTATCGTGTGCCGACTTTATTGTCTCTAACACACCTATCTCCGTTACTCTTGTCATTGACTCATTCTGTCTCATCAAGGTTCTAGTCCGCTTTTTTTAAAAAAAATTATTTATTTATTAGTTTGTGTGTGTGTGTGTGTGTGTACTGTCAAGTTGGATCTGACTGGTACAGAAGGAGATTGCCCCTCATTCTCAAGCAGAGCATCTGGTGTATTCAAACCACATACCTCTGGGATTGCAGTGCAGCTTCTTGCCACCAGATCTCCCTGGTTCTTCCTCTCTTGTTCTATTCCTCCACCCTCCCAAACATGTTGTCCCTCCCCAAGGATTGGATCACTCTTTGGAACATGCCCAAGTATGACAGATGAAGCTTCAGAATACTTACTTCCAAGGAACAGCTGGTCTCATCCTTTCTAGGGCAAACCTGTTTGTTTTCCTGGTAGTCTTCAGTACTCTTCTCCAGCACCACAGCTCAAAGGCATCAATTCTTCTGCTATCCTTCCTAGTTATCGTCCAACTATCTGATGCATAACAAGTGATTGCAAAGACCATAGCCAGTATCAGATGCACCTTAGTCTCCAGAGTGACACCATTGCTCTTCAGTACCCTGGAGAGGTCCCTAACAGCAGACTTGCCCATCGCAATACGTTTCTTTTTATTTCCTGGCTACTGGTGCCAAGAGTGCTGACCGTGGAGCCAAGCAGACTAAAGTTGTTAACAATCTCAATCTCTTCCTGATCCATCCATCCTGATGCTGCCAGTTGGTCCAGTGGTGGGAATCTTTGTCTTCTTGACATTGAGCCTCAATCCATACTGAAGGCTGCAATCCTTGACCCTCTGCAGCAAGCCTTTCAGGTCCTCCTCAGTTTCAGCAAGCAGGGTTGTGTCATCTGCATAACGCAGATTGCTGATAGATCTTCCACCAATCTTGACCCCACATTTCTCCTCGCAGAGCCCAGCCTCTGGGATAATCTGTTCTGCATACAGGTGTGTTAAGGGAGGTTTATTTTCTAGTAGATTCAAACAGTACTTCTCAGTCATCGTGAAATGAATTGTAAGAAAAGTACATAATCCAGTTTGCTTTGATGCATGATTTATTAATATTTTGCCTTATTTTTAAAAGTGAGTTTTCAATAATTGAAATACTGATTATACATATCATACGTAATCCACCTTTGTAGTATAATTACCAAATTCAGAAAATCTAATCATGAATTTGTACTTTTATTGCCAGTTACTCCACTAATGTCCTATGGAATTAATCATTGTTTATCTAATCCAGGTCATTTCATTGCATTGAAGTTTTCTAGCTTTTTGATTGGTTGTTGTTGAGATGATTCCAACATATGATGACCTTACATATTTTAAGATTTGAACTCTTCCATAAGGTCTTTATAATTTTATTGTGAATTGGGAAAAATTTGCATGGCACATTAGATTTTCACTAATAATTCCTATCTGTGTAATTCTCATTTCAGCTCTGTTTGTTTATAGTAATCTAGCATCCTTGTTGCCCAATGACTTCTCATCTTCAGTCCAGGACAGTTGTTGGCATTTTCTCATTTAGGGGAGCATAGCATTCATGTTATTATCGTGTACTATCAAATTGGAACCAAATTATGACTGACCCTCCAGTGGGTTTTCAGAGGCAGTAAATCACACAGGAAGAGACTCCCTATCTTTCTCAACACCTTATGTATTGGAACTGTGTGCCTTTGGGTTGTTAATGCAACTCTTCACCATTAAGCCACCATGGATCCCTTCATATTTTATGAGCCCTCTGTATTTTGCTAGTAAGTGACATCAGGGAGTGGTTTGAGTTTCAAATTTGAAAGGTATTCCAGGGTGATAATCTCAGCATTTGCTTCAGACTTTACCAGTCTAGTGTGTCTGGCTTATTTTTTAGGTATTTGAATTTTTACTCTACATGTTTTTCTATCTAGATCCATGTCTTATGTCCCTGGTGGGAATGGTCAGTAGTGCTAGCTAAGCCATATGTTGTCAGTCGCTGCTTATTTTGTAAGTAGATTTCCAGGCCTTTTCTGATATGCTTCTGGGTCTACTTCATTATTCATTTAAGAGCAGAACATGTGAACTGTGTACTACTCATGATTCCTTATAGTTCAATGTTGTTATTTGAATCAGTTATGACCCATACTGACTATATGAACAACAGATCTGTATGTTGTCCTAGCCTGTGTCATCTTTACAGTTCTTGACACACTGGAGCCCATTGCGGCAGTCACTGTGTCAGCCCACCTGGTTAAGGGGCGTCGTCTTCTTTGCTGACCTTCCACCTTTCCCAGCATCATGTCTTTCTCTAAGGAATAACCCCTCATAGTAACATGCCTTATAAGGAAAAAAACTTCATGATCATTGCCTCCAGAGAGCACTCTGGCTGCACTTTCTCCAAGACATATTTTTTTTTCTTTTGACAGTCCATGGAATGTTCAGTACTCTCTCTAGCACCTCAGCTCAGTGGCATCAGTTCTTCTGTAATCCTTATTTATTGTCCAGTTATACCCTGTAGTTCATTAGTCTCTAATCTAGAACACCTCAGCCTGTTTGTATTTTTTGACACTGAGTTTTGATAGACCTAAATCTGAATTTACCTCCTGTTTTCTCATTATTAGGTTAAAAGATTTTTAGTTGTGGAGGCTTTTTTGGTAGGAATAATGAATGATGTATCTTTCTTAGTGAATTAGATCAAAGCATTTGCAGAAATATGAATAACTGAAATTTTTATAGAGTATGTCAGTGAGTGACATTTTAGAATTTTGCTTTGAAAGTAATTTTGAAGTAGAATTTTCATAAAATTTAAGTATCAGAAGTTTAAGCATAAAATCAAATATTTTCCATGACTTACAGAAATTATAGGAACACACTAAAGAAATTTAGAAAAAAGTCAGTTTCAGAAAGAAATAGAACCAAGGACTCGGGGGGGCCGGGGCTTCAGATAACAATATGTAAGAAAACAACATAGAAAATTTATTTCACCAGAAACAGCACGTCTTCTCAGTCTCAGACAAGTTCTGCCTCCAGAAAAGCCAATTCGAGCGTTGGGAAGTGGCAGGATCGTTATGGGAGGGCTGAATCACCTGATTTAAGGTAAGGCTGTTTTTCCATATTAGATTGATGCTGTTTTCTTTGTATTTCTCCACCCCTCCCCGTGTGTGTGTGTGTGTGTGTATGATACAATTTCTGTGTATTGGTTGGCCTAGTAGGTAGCGAGTGGCACCTCTCTGGTGATTCAAATCTACCAACAGCTCCATTGGAGACAGTTGGGGAATCTGGAACATCTCCTCCTGTACTATTGACAGTTTCTCAAACCTGCTGGAGGGAGGGTCATTTAAGACTTAGTTCCAACTCGATGATGATTTGAGAGATCATAGTAAATAGTGCATAAATAATCCTTTGAATTTATATTTAAATAATTTGACCAGAACTAGGTGATTCCTGTATGATTGATTCCAAAACGTCTAAACTACAAGATTTTTCATAATAAAATGGCCATTAGTCCTACTGCTAGTAATGCATTGGTACATATAAAAAATAATTAATTCTTTTTTTTTGTAAAAAATGTTAGATTTTTTTACTTGATTTTCTCAGTAATTGTCAGTATGTATTTAGACAAGTTTCCTAAAGTCTATTATGCCTCAGTTTCAACATCTTTAAAGTTAAGGCTTCAGCGATACAGTTGAAAGGTCGAGTTGGAATAGCAAAGAATTCTATGAACAAAATGTTCAATGATACAGGAAGCATCAAAAGATGATGAAAAGGGTATACAACCAGGGTAGGTACCAGAAATAATTGGTCCACTGCCCCCTCCTTCTGCCTCTCCTAGTGCTGCCTATGTGCTTCTTTGGTGTTGACCTATCACCTCTTTTGTGAGCAGCTGCTGAAGAGACTCTGACACCATGACCAAGTAAAGACCCAGGGAAGGAATCAAGACTGAGAACATATGATCACATTAATGTGAAGGTGGCAGGCACAGTGATTCTGTGATCCAGTGTAAGACTAAGAGACATACACCACTTAGTAAATTTATAAAAGCCTGTTGTGAATGACCGTTTTTGTCAGTGAGGCAAATCAGATTTCCAACTTGACAAGCAGCATTCAGTGAAGCAGGTCACACTTGCACAGTTGAAAATGGAGGATGATAAAGTTGTTGGGTTGCAGCAGCAGAGAGGAGGTATCTTCTGAATAAAGGGAGTCTGCTATTTTAGTTCAGATTCTGTTCCTGTAGACCAAGAATACATTCTCAGTTAGTTTGGTTTCACTATGTACTGATTACTACAGTGTAGTTTCTCTTTTTATTGTCTCACTTCCCACTCCTATTCTTCTATTGTGCATAAAGGAACTGGTGCATATATACACACATAGTGCATTTTTAAAGAACTAAATGACTGGGGTGGTATGTTTTGATCAACATCAGTTGATCAAATGGGTGAAAAAAAATTCTTCTATGCAAGTACTTCTTTTCTCTATTAGTTACATGCTTATTCAGGTCTGTACCTGATCCAATCCGTGATCAATTTATTTACTTGTTAATGCATCTTAAAGTTAGACAATGAGTAAGGAAGATAGAATTGATGCTTTTGAGTTGCAGTGTTGGAGAAGAGTACATGGACTGCCCGAAGAACAAATATGTCTTGGAGAAAATGTAACTAGGGTGCTCCTTAGAGGCAATGAGAGTGAAATTTTGATTCACATACTTTGGGCATGTTTGAGGGGCCAGTACTTGGCAAAAGACATCATACTTGGAAAAGTGGGGGATCTACGAAAGCAAGGAACACTATCAGTACAACAGTGTACAATATCACTGTAACAGTGGAGTCAAGTATGAGCAGGCCCAGGATAGGGCAGAGTATGGGGTTGCTGTAGATCATATATGACTTGAAAACCCTAAGAACATTCAGTTCCTGTCTTTATTTTCTAGTAAGTTATTTTAATAAAAAATAATGCCATAGACCCCTTGCCTACCTTGTCCAGTTGGAGAATTTTAATGCTTTTTATTCATCATTGTAAAACCAACTAATACATAGCTATTACATGTGGGGCAATCTGTCTTTAGTAGAGGTAGATTAAAAGAAAAAGAGTCCTAGATAGTTTTCCCTTCAAGGATTGGTCAACACTGAACCATTTCAGAAAATGGCATGTGATCAAGAATCAGTAGTACTGAAGGAAGAAGTCTAAACTGCACGGAAGGTCTTGGTGGGAAACAAAAGGCCATGGAATACTATTTGAGGTGTTTCTGGAAACTCCTGAATGTGCTTAATAGGCTGTGCCAAGGTATTTATGAAATGGCTACAGGAAACTGTCAGAAATTCAAGCTGGATTTAAAGTAGTTGTGGAATGAAGGGTATCATTGCAAATGTATCTTACCTGAAATCGGAGTCTACCAGAACGTTGTTTACTTGTGTTTTATTATTTGTGTGGATCATAACAATTTATAGGTAATGCAGTTATGGTAATCTTAGATACTTAATTATGCTCATGTAAAACCTTGTGCACATAGACCAAGAAGCAATTGTCCAGACAGAACAAAGGAACATTGCATCTTTTAAAATCAGGAAGGGTGCACATCAATGTTGTATCCTTTCTCCATACCTATTTGATCTGTGTGCTGAGCAAGTAATTTGAGAAGCATGACTATATGAAGAACAATGTAGCATCAGTACTGGGAGAAGACTCATCAGAAACCTGTGATAGGCAAATAACACAACCTTGCTGGCGGAAAATTAATAAGACTTTTAAAGTATTTTCAGTATGCCTAATGTATTTTATTAAACTCTTATTCTTAAGAAAGGAATTAATACAAGCTGATTTTCAATGCTGAATCACTCAAACTAAAAAGAACAGTCTTTTCCTTGTAAACACTTACTCATTCATTGCCATCAAGTCATAACTGATTCATAGCTGACCCTTGTCTTGGTTTTCTTGGGCTGTCAATTGTGAGGGAAGAGATTGCCTCCCCTTTTCCCCTACTCAGAGCCTTTGGTGGATTTGAACCAGCAGAGACATGTACATAGCCTTTCAGTTAGCAGTGCAACTCTGTATGGACGAAGCTGCCAAAACTCTTTATTATAATGTAGTTAGTTGCCACCGAGTTAACTCTGACTCCTGGTGACAATGTATGCAGGCCTAAACCTTGCCCTATCATAACCTGCACTATCACACTATGTCTTGATACGCTTGAGTCATTGTATCTGTTCATCTAGATTCATTGACCTTTCAGCTTTCCCAGCATGATGTTCTTTTCCACAGACTGGCCAGATGCTCTGAATACTTGAGATGACATTTCATCATCCTTGCCTCTATGGAGCACTCTGGTTGCACTTTCTCAAAGATTAATACTAAACTTAAAATTGCTATTAAACAAATTTTGTATCTAAGAGTTATATGTTCAATTAATAGTAGTTCTTGTAACTTAGTATTAGGGCTGGATGATATAATGTAGTAAGATGTTTCTGTCCTCTTGTGGCATTTAATTCACCGAATGTATAGTAGTCTGTGCCTTCTGAGATTTTCTATGTGATTTGGTCTGTGAAGATCTTAATTTTTTTTTTTTTTTTGCATTTAAATTCATTATTCATTTCAGTAAAAATTTACAGAGGCTTTGGATTTCCATTCATTCATTGTTGCACATTTCTCCCCTCCCAAACTTCCCCTCCCCAGAACACTACCCTCTTGGAAAAGTAAAAGAAAAATTATTTCATTGTTTTACAAACCCTCCCCCAGGTCCACTCCACCATATAGCCATTGCTCTAGACTCCTGTCATGACAGA